TTGGTGGGACCATCTTTGTCCATCTGTGATGTCCCATCGGCGTCGTCAACAGCCGTCCTTTGATCATCCGTGCCTGTGGTTCCTGGATCGCCAGCACCGCTACGTCCTGAATGTCCTCGTCGTTCATGAGGCTCTCGTGAACCTCGCCGCGTTTTCGCACATTGAGTTGGATCATACGGAGCGTACTACTCATTCAAAGATGGGTAGAGCTTCTTGCAGTTTCTGCTGAAAGATGCATGGGGACCTCCGCAGGGAACACACTTGAGGATAGTCTCAGTGCAGGCACTGTGGTGGTGCCCCTCCTTGGCACATTTCCCGCACACCTGGGGTCGGTCGCACTGGTGAGCTTTATGGCCGCGGCCCATCTGTTGACAGTTGTAGCACTGGTCGAGGCGAGGACGAGATTCGAAGACCTTGGTCCTCCCAGATTGTCCTCCCGCATAGGCGTAGCCCTCCGCGAGTAGCCTTTCCGCGTCCGCTCTCTTCGTGAGGTACATAACCATTGAGCCGTATGCCTTCGGGACGTCCCTGTTACTTAGCCAGCCTACTTTCGCAACTTGTACGTCGTTTTCTTTGCCAATCTCCTCCGCGGCCCCACTGCGGATGGTGTTCGCCTCATCCAAGACCACCATGCGGCTCACGTAGTCGACTTTGACAGGATAGAGTTCGTCTCGCAGCATCCTAGCTCCTCGAGGCAGCTTGGCTTCCACCAGTTGTTTCACCATGGCGTGCTCCTGCTCGTTTCTGCAGGCAATTCTGATTCGAGGCTTCTTCGGGTCCGTGGTCACGGCCAGGCAACGCCACTTGGATTGGCTTTGGTCCACCCTGACCTCGCCTTCCGTAAGGGTACGAATAGCGCCCGGTGTGAGCTGTTCACCTTGTTCGTCCTCCATCCTGGATGTGTCGATCGTGCAGAAGACCATGTCTATTGGCGTCGGTGGCGTTGTCATGGTAGCCTGCCTCGTGTTGCTGAGTTGGCCGGCCTGTGGCATCCGGGCAATGTCTGCGTAGGACGGCCCCGATCTATCCTGCCCTGCGATCGTCGTAGTGACTGTTTCGATGCTCGCACGCAGGCTCTGGGTTTCATTCGTGGTCGCATGGAGGGCTTTCCTAAGCTTCTCCACTTCGTTCTGGAGCTCTTCAATTCTTGTCGACTGTGACTGGGATTCTTCCAGGACCTTTCTCATGATCTTCGTCTGTAGTTCCATCTGTTTCTCCATAGCGCGCAGCAACGCTCTTCCGTCCGGCTGCCCTCCAAGAGTCCCGGAGATTGGTCGTCGCACCGTCGGTTTGGTACCGCGCCTATTGGCTCTTCGCTCCGTGATTTCCACATCGTCGGTCGGCTCGTTTCTGGCTTGACCCTCGGTCGCTTCATCATTGATATGTTCATCGTCGATGACTTCGTTGTCGATGGATCGATTGTCGACGACCTTGTTGCTCGGCTTGCGCGTCGATCGAAGCTGTCGTCTCACACCACCATTCCCCCCTTCTCCATCCGACGCAACATGGATCGTGTCGCGTTCGTTCGCCATGGCTGCAGGTGGGGCGCCACGTGGAATGGGATCCACCAGTTCGCGTCGCGCCGTCCCACGTCAAAGACCAACCGGATTCAGTCACGTCCCGATTGAAAGTGAGGCCTCTTCAGGAGTCGCTGCACCGCTCAAGGCAGGTACAGGTAGGTAGGATAACAGTTTCCTGGCGTTGATGTGCCTTATGTAATCAAGACGCCCGCCCAGAGGAAGGCATCACACGTGGGAATTGCCACCTGCCAGACGTCAGTCATCAGTTGGCTGTGATGCCGCATGATCAAGACAGCAGGAATACGGGAATTCAACCTTTGACATCATCCGACATCCGGCAATTCATCTTTTGATGGTCTGAGAATAATGAAGAAAACTCTCATTTTATGCTTCATACACGGCTTCAAGGTAGACTCAGTAGCACGGCTTCCCTTCCAAGCTAAAACTGACAAGCGCAGGGTGGTGATGACACCTTTGGAGAAGGCTATGAGTTCACGGAACACCTTCGCTCACTTGTCGAGCAAGCCCTGCCCAAACTCAACGTCCAAGTTCTTGTGTATCCCAAATATGAGACAAGAGGCGACCTAGGCAATTGCGTCAGCCGATTTCGCGACTGGTATGCCTTTCCTTCTCCCCCCTCATACCCCATGACGGCCACCCCGCTAACCCTCGCCAGGCTGCAAGAGAAGGTCATCGACATTGAAGTCGAAGCCGGCACTTCATCCCCGACCGTCGACCCCTCGGTCCGCACCATCCTCATCGGCCACTCCATGGGCGGCATCGTCGCCGCCGAGACAGTCATCGGCCTGACGTCTGACAAACCCATCTACTCCGAAGACGGCGTCGAAAAGTCGGCCCAGACGCCCACGTCGTTCAACTCGCTCATGTTCCCCTACGTCCAGGGCGTCCTCGCCTTCGACACGCCCTACCTCGGCATCTCGCCGGGCGTCGTCGCCCACGGCGCAGAGGGGCACTACACGGCCGCCTCGGCCGCCATGACGCAGCTCAGCGGCCTCGGCACCGCCCTCTGGGGCGCCACGCCCAACAAGTCCGCGTCCCCCGGCCCCGCCAACGCCTCGCGCGCCCCCGTCGCCGCGCTCCCGGCCCCGTCCTCGCCAGGCGGCACGACGACCCAGCAGCAGCAGCAGCAGAGCCCGTGGGCGAAATGGGGCAAGATCGCCGCCATCGCCGGCGGTGACGTCGGGAATATATAGAGGTCGTAAATGAATTCGGCCGGCTAAAACATTAAAAAAAAAAGAGGACGGTTTACTTTGGTGGGGGGGGAGGGCTCCAACCCAAACCCGCAAAGGCATAAGAATTGTATTTTTATTTTT